CATTAAAGAAGAACCCGTCCAGAAGACCTACACAATTTTTTTTCCTTTTGATTTTTTTACCTGGATTACTGATGCATCAGGACGCCATCATTACATAGTTATCATCAACTGTGTGCATGTTTATTAGCTTTAAAACTGAAGTGTGAATTGGTCAGCAAAAATTTTTGATTGCAGTTGAAATGCTTATTTTTGTTTTTGTCTGTTTACCTTAAAATAAAGTTATGCAATTAGTAAAATCCACAAAAAAACAGTCTTTGACTTTGTTTCTCTTTTGCCACAAAAAGTGCCAAAATATTCTATTTCTCATCTGCCACATCTTTTGGCAGCAGCTGTGTTAATTATGTACAACTTACCTCTGCTGAGTAACACCTCACAGGAATGCCAAATGCTCGGGCCAAACCGAAGTCTGCAAGCTTTAATTCCCCATTCTACAAAAAAATAAATAAATAAAAACTTCTGATTTTTTTGTGTGCAGTGTGTAGCTAGTCCTCTACTAAGCATTGGATTCAACAACAGGAACCAATGTTTACCAAATCAAAGTCCAACACTCACTCTGTTGATGAGGAGATTCTGCGGCTTCAGATCTCTATGAAGAACATTCCGGCTGTGACAGAAAGCAAGGCCTTTCAACAACTGGTACATGAACGACTGCCGAGGAAACCCAAGAAGACACAATCAGATTTAAAGCTTCCAAAAGCACTGTTTAAGTTGATGTCATTCTCAAACAATAAATACAGCCGATACAAGGTCCTCCTTTCTCACCTTTACAGTTTCTGGATCAAGATCACCATTGCAGCTGTCAAAATACTTCTTCAAGTCCTGCAGTGGACAGAAAATACTATTTAGACTGGGAATAATCATAATAAAAACATTGCCTTAGCTGTATGAGTAACTCACCTGATCGCAGTATTCAAAAACCAAGGTTAATTTCTTGTCACTGTGCAGCACATCATGTAATCTGGGGAGGACAGAACAAACTTTAAAAGCGCAATGATTGCTGTTAACTCATCTGGCAAACACTCACACAGTCATTTACAGAGAATGCATTGATGATAAAAAAGGAGTAGCAGACTGACCTGACAATGTTTTTATGCTTTAATTCTTTCAGAAGACATATTTCTCTCAAAGCAGAACTTGGCACCCCCTGAAATCATTGCAATATATTTTGATTTGTTAGCACTAGCCTGCTAACTGATGTTACTGCATCTGTCAACAGATTGAGAACACAAACCTCGTCGTCATCGTCCAGCCTGACCCGTTTCAAAGCCACAATTTCGTGTGTTTCTCTGTTTTTAGCCTTGAAAACGGTCCCATAAGTACCTACGAAAACGAGAACTCAATTTAACCAAGCTTAAATCTTCGATGAATGGAAAGGCATCGCCATGATGATACTGATTACTAGGCTAGCTACACTTAGCACTACTAGGCCAGCTGGTGTCACTCATGCCGTGAAATTGACAAGAACAGCTTAACAAACTCGTGCAAATTTAAGCAAAAACTCCAAAAAGACGCTACGCAAATAAACATCTACCACAATCACATTCCGCAGTCATAGCATAGCATCCATGCAAAATCAGCAAGAATGCTATGTTAGCATGGTTCAGCTAGTAGTTATATTAAAAATGTGTAACTTACCCTCTCCAATTTTTTCAAGCTTTTCATATTTCTGCATGTTTGGATTGTAAGGCCAGCCTTCGGCAACACTGGTAGAACAATGACCGAAAACACCCCAAAGTGGGGCGGATACAATAGTAAGGTAGCTGTTAGCTACAGACGCTTTAGCCTCAATCCTCCGGTCGGATTCACGGATCTGCTCTGGTTTGCCACCTACAGGCCAACGAGTGAACCGCAGGCTGCTGCAACAACTCCAGTTATTTTAAGGTACTAAACAAATTCACACGAGTAAAAAAATAAAATAAATTAATATAAGTTCAAATATCCTTAAAGGCAAGAAAATATTCCTAATAAATAGTGAAGTGAAAGGCATTTAAGAAAATAATAGGGTTAAAATTACATTAGTACTGCATTACCAACAAACTGAAAAATATTAAAGTGAAACTGGTGATTTGTTTCTTTGTCTGACATATGGACAAAACACCAGATGGAGGGAAGGAGAAAGAAATCAACTCAAGGAGAAATGTTTGTACAATAACAGAACCTTAATAAATAACCTTATCATCATGAATACAAAACCTACAGACTCGCTTCATCTCGGTTTCACATTCTTCAGCTCTTTCATATTTGAAGCTTTCCGTTTGTCCTTAAACTGACATCTGATCAGACTCTTTGATATCTTCTCATGTAAGATGATCATTTCAAATCAAATCTCTGACTGCAAATGTGTTCTTGGAAGCCATCAGACTGCAGGTTATGATAAATATATTCCCCACAAGGGCTAATTAATCAATTTAACTGTGTGAACTCTATTTCAAAGTCAGCTAAGTTTCAGCTCTTTATTGTTCAGTTCTGCTAACCAGCTTATAATTCAGTTTACTAAAACTGATGCAAGACATTATACTAACACAGACTGCACGCCCACACTAAATGAATCAAATAAATGCTTCTGTTTATCACTAATGAATAAAAACAAGATATTAAAGTTTTGTGCATACAGGAATCATAGGGTTAACACTTTTTTAGTGTTGATAGCTGACTTGTACCTTCAGAATCAAGTCATTCTAAAATTATCAAAATTGTATTTACAGATGTGCTATTTAATAACTTTACCAATAACCATAGTCAACCATTTTCATAAGAACAAAATCTATTTAAACACATTTACAAAAATTAATTTGGAAAACCAGATTTACTTAATCAATTTTTTTGACAACTCATACATAAAATATACTCCAAAACTAAAATTTCATTTTAGTTCCCATATGTACAATAATGTATTTAAAAATAATCACAGGTTCATGTGGATGGTCCGTTTAGTTGTTGTATTTGTTCTTCTATACAACTAAACAGACAGCAACACATCTGATTGAGTTCATCTAATAAACAGTGGTATTTAGTGTCGATCTAATAAAAACAGGTTTGTATGTTTTTATTTTTGCTCTTCGGCTCTTTGTCTACGGATCAGATCAGAATAAAGTCCTCCTTTGCTCAGCAGCTGCAAATGAGTCCCAGCCTGTAAGAAGGAAAACAAAAGGCTGTCAGATCAAATGAAAAGTGATATTTTACAATCATTACCAACAGATGGGAGCTACCAGTTTTCCCTCCCAACACAAATGACCGAACACTGAAATAAATAATTTTTTGGTGTTTCTTTGAGCTCGCAAGCTGTTCTCATAAATTAACCCAGGCATTTAATCAGTGATAAAAGCACCTCCTCACCTCCACAATGCGCCCGTTGCTCATGACGCAGATGAAGTCGGCCCCTTGAATGGTGCTCAGCCTGTGGGCGATGATGAGCACGGTGCGGCCCTTTGTGGCTTTGTCCAGAGCTTCCTGCACCACTCGCTCCGACTCGGCGTCTAAAGCGCTGGTGGCTTCGTCCAGCACCAGTATGCTCGGGCTCTTGATCAAGGCGCGGGCGATGGCGATGCGCTGTTTCTGGCCACCTGATAACGTCACACCTCGCTCACCTGCGTATAGAAACCCAACGTTCAGCATTCGCAAGCAGGTCTAACAAAAAGTAAGGGAAAAAAAAGCTTAAAAGAAACCACATACCAACCATGGTGTTATAACCATCTGGGAAACTTGTGATAAAGTGGTGAGCGTTGGCCTGCTTTGCTGCGCTGATGACCTCAGCATCCGTGGCTTCAGGCTTCCCGAAGCGAATGTTCTCCATGATGGACGACCCAAACAAAACGGGCTCCTGCAAACGGCAAGCAAAACAGCAGCGGGATTTCCACGCAGAAGTCAGAAAATCAAAACTGTATGAGAAACGTCTTCATGCATCCGAAACGAGCAGCCTCTCCACCTGGTTGATGAAGCCAATGACTTGACCTCTGAGCCAAGCCAGGTCTAGCGTTCGAATATCGAGCCCATCCAACGTGATCACACCACTGGTGGGGTCGTAGAAACGTTCCAGCAAGGCAGCCACTGTGGACTTTCCTGCAGGGTTTAATTTTTATGCACAGATTATAAAACAGTTTCCACGTCACCAACTAAAAACGAGTTATTATCTCAAATTACCTCCTCCAGATTCACCAACAACAGCGACAGTTTTACCAGGGGGCAGTGTTAAGGTGAAATTCTTTAGGACTTTGTGGCCAGGTCTTGTTGGATAACTATAAATATTCAAAAAAGGAACACTTATTCATTATCCTCTCATGTTCAGTTAAAGTGGAGAAGTGCACCTAGATCTATTTAGAGTTGAAATGAAAGGATTTTAACCTGAATGAAATGTCCATAAAGTCAATTCTTCCCATCATAGAATGGTATGAGATACGCCTTCCTCCAGAGAGAAGGATGGTCGGCTGCACAGAAAGGTATTCAAAGACCCGGGCACCAGAGCTTATTCCTCTCACCATCTACAGAGGGCCAGTGTGGTTTCAAATGAAATGAGAATTCAGATCAAAAGATGATGTGATACTACAATTAAAACAACTTATACACTATGTATAACGTTTTCTAACCTGTCCAAAAAGGATGGAAATGCTTGCCAAAGACCTGAGCATGAAAACAAATGAAATGAGTATCTTCTCAACAAAAGCATTTAGCTATACATTTTGTTGTAGATAAATCACTGCGTTCACTTTATACCTTTGAACAGTCTGAGACGCAACCAAAAAAGACATGAGATCCCCAGGAGACATTTCATTGCTTGAGATCAAAGTCCCTCCAGCAAAGATGGTTCCGAGAACGATGCCTGTTTTAGTGGCAAGATACAATACAAAACACAGAAACGTGCTTCACATCGTGTCCAACAGGGTTAATAACGTGAACACACTTACAGTTCAGGGCGACGTTTGACAGGCCTTGAAAAATGGCAATCCCAGTCCCAAGATTTTCATTCATGTCACATGATTTGTCAACTTCATATGCATATAATCTGAGGGGGGAAAAAATCATAATCATTAAAACAATATATTTCTGAATGATTATTACGACTGTTACACAACGAACTTACTGGAGCTCTCGTTCCTCCATTGCAAAAGCTTTCACTGTGCGCACGTTACCCAGCGCCTCGTCTGCCACTCCTGTAGCCTTTGCCACCTTAAAGCAGAAATACCATGGTTTTAAATCCTTCATTCAGTTGGGGTCTACATACAGTGGAACTGCAATGCTTTGGTCTGAATTCCTCCTTATTGTAACTTTACCAGCCCCTTTTTCACCCCTGTTCTGAGGTGTGTCATTCAAACTAGCAAAAACTCTCCTAGAGACTCCAAGTACAAAACAAAATGTATTTAATGGCTAAAAAAGTGGATTTTGCATGACGTGTCCTCTTTAATTTAAACATCCAGTCAGACAGCAAATAAGTATGTTTTGAGGGTAGAAAAATTGACGTGGCTCCTGTACTGTTTATTTTCAGCAGTGCAAGAATTCACATAACACTTTCTACAAAACTAGACCTCATAAAAAAACAATATATGGTGTCACCTGTTCTTGAGCCATACGAGACAGTCTGCGCAGGAATGAGCCAATGAGAGCCCCTGCTCCCACTAGACAGGGGAGGACCACCACTGTCAAACCTGTGAGCTTTGGAGAGATGATATAGAGCGACACAAAACACCCGACTGTCTGTGTGATACTCCGCAGACCCTAAAAATACACAAGAAATGTTAGGGGGGGGGGACGGTTAGGAGATTTATTTTCTGGCATATTAACGTCAAAAGACTGAGTTGAGCTTGTAATACCTGAGAAATAACCAGTTTAAAAGATGACTTGAACTCCTGAATATCGGCAGTCAAACGATTTACCAGCTGCCCGGTTTTGTTAGCATCAAAAAAAGCCACGTCTTGCCTGAAGAATAAAAGAACTCAGTTATAAACATTTGGGATGAAGGTTTGATAGCAAATATGAACAACACTGAACATGCTTGTTTTTTTTTTTCATAAACAGGTCATTTCAAGTATAATTTGTGGAATACCTCAGCAGGGATGCAAACAGGGTCTTTCTCATGTCTGCTGCCACTCTTTCTCCCACCCTTGACAGGAGGATGATGTAGCCACTTGTTAACAGGCCCTGCACAAAGGAGATAATTGACCAGAAGACAAAAACATTATTTTACAGTTGTGACATTTCTATTTGGGATTAATTATTTTTTATTTAAATGACAGCAAATAAAGTAGACTTCACAGTGATGAAGTCCACATAAACTTACCAGCATGTTCTTTGGAATAATTGAAAAACAAATCTACAAATTTTAGGAGTAGAAACAACTGTGTCATATATTGATATAATTACGAGGTACTTACTTGGATGCCGTACAGTCCAAGTAATTTCAGAGCAGGTCCTTTTATCTCAGATATATAATTCCCTGTGTTTTCTCTTAGGTAACGTGCAACAACATTCACCAGGTTCCCAAGCATCAGTGGGATTTGAATGTTCAAGATAGCAGCACCAAAAGCAAGCTGGGAAAAAAAAAAATGCAATTTAATCTAATTGCATTGTATATTTTGTGTTTTAGACCATTTCTGAACCTTACCACGATGGCACCAACAAGAGCAAACCACTGAGGTTTGACAAATTCCCACAGAATATGCCATTTGAACTCAGGCCCTGGGTGTTTGGATACAACTTCCACGAAGGTGTTGTTATTCTCGTCAGCTTCACAGTGAGCTACATGGAAACACAGGCGTGCTGAGGCAGTAAGCACCGCGGGTCCCAAGATGAATTTTAAACTTTGACGTTTAATTGGTTGTGAAGAAAACTGGCGGATGGCTCTCTGAGTAAGGCTCCAAATGCGACTCACGGCGCAGCTAGGCTGCTGTGAGGATGCATGAGACCCTGGAAATGTAGACCACCTGGATAATAAAACAAATAATCAGTATAGTTTGAGATTGAATATACTAAACCACAAGACACAAATCTTACTGAGGCTGCTAGAAATAACTAAAACATATATGTTTAAAATTGATGTTAGAAAATATAAAAGATATTATTAATGAAAGGTTAATTCACTAAACTTTAATACCCCCACCATTCCCGAAATTGCAACTCTTCCTGCAAATGGACCTTTTCAGGATAGGGGACTGAAGTGCAGATTCGATGCAATCTTTTTATTACCTTTTCTAAAGAAAATATTAAAATAAAAACAAACACTACATTAGACAGCATGTTTAAATTTGATTTGAAGTGACTAAGTGAAATATTAAAACAAACTGGCTTGAAATTGACTTAATTTATTTTGCACAGTTTATGCAAATGAAATGTGATATGAACAGAACAGCACTTTCTATGAACTGCTTTAAATTAAAATATATTTAAACAGACACTAAAGTTTTCTCTTCAGTGCTTCTAGTAAAGCTTTATTTTGAATGGACACTATTTAATTACTGTAAATAAATAATCCTGTTCAATGACTAATCTCAAAATGCTATAAGATTGTTGAAAACTAGTCATTACTCTCTAATTATGCCAGCAATACCGAAGCTAGGCAATTTTTTCCAGTTGCAGCTTACACAACAAATCTCCTGCCATTAGCTAAATTAGCTACTATTCCAATGTAACCTACCGTGAGAGCTTTAATTTAACTCCTGTCTTACTGCAATGCGATAAAAACGACAAAGAGCGTGATGGAGCAGCGGTGCTCAGTCTACAATAAAGCAGCTGAAACATGTTTTATGCTTCTTTCAGCGATAAACCCTTCATTAGGTTCAGATAATCGTTAAGCTCATCATTAACCTAACAGCATTATGCAGGCTGCCATATTGACAATGACCCGATTCTTCTTCGTTGTTTTAATTCCAGTAGACTTGATGTCTTACTGCCCCCTCAGTTCAGAAAAGGGACTTTCGTTTGGTTTTACCCTGTTTTTTTCTCTCAAGTGAGAAGTTGTTTGACAGTCTTTTTTTAACCATTTTTTCCCCTCTGAACTTGGCTATAAAGAAGAATTCTGTTACAACAAATGTGTAAGCTTGGTAGAAGATAATTTCTACAAATATTTATATAAAAATAGACCTTAAAATGGGTGGTTTTTATGCAAAATCGACTTTTTGGAGCTTTATATCATGTTATAATGTCATTCCCTCATCAAAAACCTACCAAAAGTGTTGCTTTGACTCATTCATGCATGTTTGAGACATCATTGAATTTTCTGTAGTAGCCATGTGGAGCAGCCTAAAGCTTGCTGGTACATAGCACCGCCTATTTGCGCATAGCTCTTCCCTGGAGCTCAGTCTGCAGCAAAGATCCC